TGTTTTTTCAGTGAAAATTCATTTTTTTCCTTGAAGCAATTCTGAAAGAACTTAAAGTTTCTGCCAAAGCTTTGGCCTCTCCCTTCCTGTTTTGTTGTTGTTGTTGGTTTTTGTTTGTTTTTTTCCTGCAATGACCTGTACTCATTTGGAGACTTTTAAGATGATCTTTAAGTGTGTCAATTAATTTACCTTCTGTCAGTTAGTGTACATTTGTTTCTTTTTTTCAAGAGGTTTTAAATAATTAACTTATCAGTACCAATCCATTTATTCAAGCTCCTTCTGGTTTATCTTCATTATATCCAAATGTAAGTTCCCATCATCTAGGCTCGCTTCTTCAAGAATGGCAGCCTAATCTCCCACTTTTAGCACATGTTCACCCAGAGGCTTGCTTTTATCATTTAGAGCTTGTCCCTTGTGGCTGGGAGCAGTGGCTCATGCCTGTAATCCCAGCACTTTGGGAGGCTGAGGCAGGAGGATCACTTGAGCCCAGGAGTTCGTACACCAGCCTGGGCAACATAGGGAGACCCTGTCTCTACAAAAAATTAAAAAATGAGTTGGGCGTGTTGGTACACAGCTGTAGTCCCAGCTACTTGGGAGGCTTAAGTGGGAGGATCACTTGAACTGGGGAAGTTGAGGCTGCAGTGAGCTAAGATTGCGCCATTGCACTCGAGCCTGTGCAACAGAGCAAGACCGTGTCTCAAACACAAACAAAAAGCCTTGTCCCATGTGCAATTTAGAGTTTCTAACTTTTTTTCTGTTAGATAAGGTAATTTATACTCCCATTCCACTTTTCACTTTATGTTTCCTTTTTTTCGTTTTGTTTGAGACAGAGTCCAGCTCTGTCGCCCAGGCTGGAGTGCAGTGGTGCAATCTTGGCTCACTGCAACCTCCGCCTCCCAAGTTTAAGTCATTCTTCTGCCTCAGCCTCCCAAGTAGCTGGGATTATAGGCGTGCGCCACCAGGCCTGGCTAATTTTTTGTACTTTTTTTTTTTTTTTTTTTTTTTTTTAGTAGAGATGGGGTTTTGCTATGTTGGCCAGGTTGGTTTCGAACTTCTGGGCTGAAGTGATCCTCCCGCCTCAGCCTCCCAAAGTGCTGGGATTATGGGATTACACTCTTAACAATGGAAGCCACCACATCCAGCCCTTTATGTTTTCTTGAAAACCAGAATTTTCATCCAAAGCATCTTTTAGTGCTTCTGAATTTGTTTTCATTCTTGTCATGTATTTTGAAAGCTGTTTTGGTTGCAGCTACTCAAAGTTGTATGTGTTTTGATGCATCTTCTAAAGACTGAATCTTTCTTTTAAATCAATCATACCTCAACTTGTTTTAAATGTTCAGATTTCTCTTCTATCAGTCCTTTTCTCAAACTCTTTATTTTGAGCCCAAGAAAAGAGTTGAAAATTTCCAGCTCTTTATTAATGGCCTCCAGTTTTTCTGTTTTTGATCATTTGTTCTCAAATGTGACTTCCGTTAAAATTATTCAAGGTCTCTCAATTCCTTTATTTTTTTTTTTCTTCTTGAAGTGGATTCTTTATTTTGCCTTATTACTGGGACCACTGATGAAATTTAATGAGGTTTCAGGATTAGATACCACTAATTACCAATGTTAATTCCCTGATTTTTTTTGTGTGATTAAATAAGAGAGTGTTCTACGTAAACTCCTGAAAATATCTGGGGGTGGGTGATAGGGCATCACAAATAGTGATTACTCCCAAACAGTTTAAGATTATGTTTTTTGTTTTTTTGTTTGATTTGTTTTTGAGACAGAGTCTTGCTCTGTCACCCAGGCTGGAGTGCAGTGATGCAATCTCGGCTCACTGAAACTTCTGCCCCCCAGGCTCAAGGGATTCTCCTGTCTCAGCCTCCCGAGTAGCTGGGATTACAGGTGTGTGCCACCATACCCAGCTAATTTTTGTATTTTTAGTAGAGATGGAGTTTCACTGTGTTAGCCAGGATGGTCTTGATCTTCTGACCTTATGATCCGCCTGCCTCAGCCTCCCAAAGTGCTGGGATTACAGGCATGAGCTACTGCACCCAGCCAATATTTTTTTAAAAAAGGTTTCTGGCCAGGCGCGGTGGCTCACGCCTATAATCCCAGCACTTTGGGAGGCCGAGGTAAGCGGATCACAAGGTCAGAAGATCAAGACCATCCTGGCTAACACAGTGAAACTCCATCTCTACTAAAAATACAAATTAGCCGGGTATGGCGGCACGCGCCTGTAGTCCCAGCTACTCAGGAGGCTGAGGCAGGAAAATCGCTTGAACCCAGGAGGCGGAGCTTCCAGTGAGCAGAGATCGGGCTACTGCACTCCAGCCTGGGCAACAAATAGAGACACTGTCTAAAAAAAAAAAAAAAAAAAGCTTCTGTACTGCACTTGCAACTTTAGTGTAAGTTTCAGGTTAAAAGAAAATAATGACCTTATTTTTTAGTGCAGTTTTTAGGTTCACAGCAAAATTAAGCAGAAAGCACAGAGAGTTCCCATATATCCCCATTCCCACATATGCACAACCTCGATCACTATCAAGATCCCACACTACAGCGATACATTTGTTACAACTGATGAACCTACATTGATACATCATTACCACCCAAGGTCCATCGTTTACATTAGGTCTCACTCTTGGTGTTATATATTCTTTGGGTTTTGAAAAATGTTTAATGGAATGTATCCACTGTTGCAGTATTGTACAGAATAGTCTCACTGCCCTAAAATTCCTCTGTGCCCTGACTGTTCACACCCCGTCCCCCGTCCCTGGTAACCACTCATCTTTTTACCATCTCCATAATTTTGCATTTTCTAGAATGTCATATACTTGAAATCATACAGTATTTAGCCTTTTCTTTCCTTTTTTTTTTTTTTTTTTTTTTTTTAAGACAGTCTCTGTCACCCAGGCTGGAGTGCAGTGGTACAATCTTGGCTCACTGCAACCTCCACCTCCCGGGTTCAAGCAATTCTCCTGTCTCAGTCTCCCAAGTAGGTGAAATTACAGGCACCCACCACCATGCCTGGCTAATTTTTGTATTTTTAGTAGAGATGAGGTTTCACCATGCTGGCCAGGCTGGTCTCGAACTCCTGACCTCAGGTGACCCGCCACCTCAGCCTCCCAATGTGCTGGGATTACAGGTGTGAGCCACCTGGGAGCTAACACACCCAGCCATAGTAGCCTTTTTAAAATTCTTCTGAATGAGGTTAAAATTGTAAAATATTTAATGTCTTTCTCCAGAAGGGCAAAAGTGGCCAGTCATTTGTCTCTACTTGCATAAAGTAGACTTTTAATAATTAGAAATATGACTATGAATACCACCATTTTCCACAGCAATCCATGAGGACGTGGGCCTGGGATGAGGTACCTGGTTATGCCGCCACCACCTGGCACAGTATCCCTAGGACAGGTGTGACACAGAGCATCATCATTATCACTCTGAATCCCTCAGGTTGCCAGGACACTGCCAGCCACATCAGATGCAGAGAGCACCAGCGAGCATTGCACCTAGAACCAAACCAGCAGCTGGCAACAGGCACAGACCTCAGTGGAAGCAGGGGAGGGAAGCCCATAAAATGCTGGCCAAAAGCTTTTCCTTCCCTGAGTTCATATTTCATTCCAAGGCCATGAGGGCTTTATTCTGCACAAAGGTCAAAGAAAACTCCCCATTCTCAGCTCCCTCCTTGATTTTTGTCTAGCCTTTGAATGTGAATGGGGCAATTTACTGGAGGAGTCATACAAATGATTTCAACTTACTTCACTACTTTTAACATTAAAAAGCTAAGGATGAGGCCGGGCGCGGTGGCTCATGCCTATAATCCCAGCACTTTGAGAGGCCGAGGAGGGCGGCTCACAAGGTCAGGGGTTCGAGACCAGCCTGGCCAATATGGTGAAACCCCATCTCTACTAAAAATACAAAAAAAAAAATTAGCTGGGCGTGGTGGTGCATGCCTGTAATCCCAGCTACTCGGGAGACTGGGCCGGAGAATTGCTTGAACCCTGGAGGCAGAGGTTGCAGTGAGGCAAGATCTCATTACTGCACTCCTACGTGGGCGACAGAGCAAGACTCCACCTCTACTAAAAATACAAAACAAAATTAGCCAGGCGTGGTGGTGCATGCCTATAATCCCAGCTACTCAGGAGACTGAGGCAGGAGAATTGCTTGAACCCAGGAGGCAGAGGTTGCAGTGAGCCAAGATCTCACCACTGCACTCCAACCTGGGCGACAGAGCAAGACCCCATCTCAAAAAAAAAAAAAAAAAGAAAAAAAGCCAAGGAGGAAGCAAGTGGTACTTTCAAAGTCTTCACGTTTCTAGAATGTGGAGTCCAACTGTGATCAAGGAAATAATTATTCTTGTATGATTCCTGCATGTGGTAGTGAAACGTTTGATGACATAAAAGCCCTTCAGGTTGCTACTATTCAAAATAATAATCTGAGGGGGTATTGAGTGCTGGAGGGATCTCCTCTCTCTCACAAAGGCAAGAGTATTGGGCCACCTGAGTATCTTTTCAATGTAGCACCTGAAAAGTGCCACAGTCTCCAGTCCTGGAGCCACGATTGGTCCAGTTCAATGAATAGCTCTATCTTAACAATGAAACTGTGGATCAGCTGGGGATTGATTGATTTTAACTGGGTAGGGATGAGTAGGTTTGCTGACCTCAGCTGGCCTTGCTCATATGTCCCAGGGTTACCTGGGGGTCAGCTGATCTGGGCTAAACTGGGCAGCTCTTCTAATCTCAGCTGGACTTGCTCATGTGTTTTGGGGTCAGCAGGGGGTCAGCTGATGTGGGCTGGGCAGGCCAAGCTCAATGTATCTCTGGGTCAGCTGGGAGTCAGCTGATGTAGGCTGCCCCTAGCTATGCACTGGGACCTGCCTTACCTGTCTCTCATCCTCTTCCTAGAACAACAGGAGAGCTCACTCTTGTCTTCCCTTGGCTATAGCAGAGGCACAAGAAAACCTTTGGAGGGTAATGATCCAATCTGTATTTTGAAACATTTTTTCTGGCTGCAGGATGTCAGCAACTATTTTGACAGCCTTTTCTCTCCATGAAGTCCTCATCCTCAGGGAAACAAAAAGTTATCAAGAACTGGGATATAGAGTAAGTGCAGATGTGAATGTCCATTGCTTCTTTTGTTTCTATGGTTCACTTCACCAGCTCCAGAACCACACCATCTTTGCCAGGATCTGCACCTGCAAAATACAGGCCCTGTACTCTCCCTCCTTCCCCATGTAACTCCGTCTTGAAACAAACGCTTGAATCTAGTTAGCAGAATCTACGTCACTCGTATGCACCCTGACAAGAAGGAAATCTTGGAAAGGGAGTTTGGGGTTCCACATGGAGAAGGCAGGATTTCTACTGAGGAACTGTGATAACAAGGAGAGACTATTTGGAAGATTTCAGGCAGCTGCGAATGACAGATGTTCATGACAGTTGTCGTATTTGTCTCACGTGATCTTGGCTACTCAGGACAAAGCTGCTCATCTATAGACTGGACACAAAGCATTGCCACTTAAGATGGCTTGTAGAAGCGCTCTGCCCAGTAGGAACAGAGAAGGATAAACTGGCCCAATTTCATCCTCTTTCAGGGAATCTGAAAGTGAGACATACAAAGAGGGTCAGCAGTGAGCAGGCAGAGAAAGTCAGGTTACAAGAATGGGAGTCAGACAAAAGTAGGAAGCAGAGCGACACCGTCATCTGAGTCACATGCGATAGTTACAAAACCTGTTATGGTATCACTATATTTGCCACAGTATCTGGACTGAGATTCTAATTTTGTGTGGAGCCTGATGTAGAACTCCCATCACATCAGACTTGAAAACATCTCTGCTCTTTTCATCTATAAAAATCCAACCCACCGCACCCATAGAAAAGACAAAACACAATATAAAGCAGCAAATTCTGTGTCCAAAGGTGGCCTACCAGATTTGAGCTCCTAAAGGGGCCATGTGTGGTTAATTTGTGTATCATGCCCAAGTATCTAGTACTTTTGGGAAGCATGCAGGAGATGGTCATTGAAAATTGAAATGAGGGTTTTAGTGATAAGTGCTATGGGATTTAGAGTAGAGAACAATCACTGTTATAACTGTAGTGTATTACATATGCTGGGTTTATCCTCTCACCACAGATCGATAATCTGCCTTTCCTCTGCCCTCCTCTGTATCTTACAAGGATGATTTCCAAGGACTGTATGCACTGCCCTCCCTTATTCTGTGGCTTCTTGTTGGGAATGGCCAAAGAGAAGCACTACTCCTGGTAATGGGAAGAGGGAAAGAGGAATTGGTTTCCTACCACCCTCTGTGGCCACAGCTACTGCCAGGTTGTCTCTTTTCTACGGTTCTGACTGCCCAGTCTATGGTGATACTGCGCCTTTCCCTTGTCTCTTCAGGCCTGCGGTGGTAATAGATTTAATCCCTGGGTGCTTTACTAGCCTTTGATGGGTCCCTCAATCCTGCCCACCCCTCTGAAAACAGTCCCTTTATTAAATTCTTCAGTGAAACCCAGTAAATGTGTCATCTATTTCTAGCCAGCACCCTGACTAGTACATTGCATTCATATTCCAAAAAGGAGGGAATAGTTCTGTACTTGTCCCCAAGTAGTCTTACTACCTGACCTTACCAAGGAGGGCAAGTTCACACAGTCTGAAAGAATGTACAAAACAGCCTTTTGCTTCTAGCACTGGAGATACAGGAGTGATTCCTCTGTTTCTTCTAGCAGTTTCTACTCCCTCAGATTCTCTCACTGGGGCCAGGTCTCAGCCTCTCCTTCTCCCATCCCCTTCACAGAGAAGCCTCCTCTCCTGTAGTCTCTCTCTCTCCCTCTCTCTCTCTCTCTCTCTTTCCCTTCCCTCCTCTCTCTCTCTTTAATCTCTCTTTCTTTTGACTCCAGGGACCCACTGCTCCTGGGGCTGACTGTCAGTCTTTGGATCCAGTCTGGTTTTTCCAGATGGGGTTGGGGTTTCCAATAGTGGAAGCTCAAGGTAGAAGGAGAAAAAAGAGGCCTTGGTGGTCTGCCCTCAGGTTGTGGTGTCTATAGAATAATCAGACTATTTTAACAGGTAAGATTAAACATCCTGTAGGTGTTTTCTGCATTTGCTGGAAGGTGTGCTAGATGGCTGGGTGTCTTCGATTAGGTTGACTGTAGGAAGAGAAAGCGAAAAAGTGGAGATTGGACCTCCATCTTACCACCTTAGGAACTATTTCTTTGAGGCTGGGTGCAGTGGCTCATGCCTATAATCCCAGCACTTTGGGAGGCTGAGTCAGGCGGATCACAAGGTCAGGAGTTTGAGATCAGCCTTGCCAATGTGGTGAAACGCTGCCTCTACTAAAAATTTAAAAATTAGCTGGGCATGGTGGTGTGGACCTGTAATCCCAGCTATTTGGGAGGCTGAGGCAGGAGAATCGCTTGAACCCGGGAAGCAGATGTTGCAGTGAGCCAGATGACGCCATTGTGCTCCAGCCTGGGCGTGGCAGTGAGACTCTGTCTCAAAAAAGAAAACAAAAAGCCAAAGGGAAAATAAAGAAACTGACTTGAGCTTTGAAAAAGAGATAAAATTAGTCTGGGTGTGGTGGTTCACACCTGTAATTCCAGCACTTTGGGAGGCTGGGATGGGCAGATCACTTGAGTTCAGGAGTTTGAGACTAGCCTGAGCAACATGGTGAAATTCCATTTCTACAAAAAATACAAAAATTAGCCAGGCATGAAAATTAGCAAGGCACAGTCCTGTTGTCCCAGCCTACTCAAGAGGCTGAGGTGGAAAGACGGCTTGAGCCTGGGAGGCAGAGGTTATAATGAGCTGAGATCACACCACTGCACCCCAGCCTGGGCGACAGAGCAAGACATGAGACCTTGTCTCAAAAAATAATAATAACTGAAAAAGAGATAAGATTAAACATGTAAGAAGACAGAGGGCATTTCAGAATGATGGAACAAAGAAGATGGGCAAATGGCCAGGCGCGGTGGCTCAAGCCTGTAATCCCAGCACTTTGGGAGGCCGAGATGGGCGGATCACGAGGTCAGGAGATCGAGACCATCCTGGCTAACACACAGTGCGAAACCGTCTCTACTAAAAAATACAAAAAACCTGGCCAGGTGAGGTGGCGGGCGCCTGTAGTCCCCGCTACTCGGAGGCTGAGGCAGGAGAATGGCGTAAACCCGGGAGGCGGGCTTGCAGTGAGCTGAGATCCAGCCACTGCCTCCAGCTGGGCAACAGAGTGAGACTCCGTCTCAAAAAAAAAAAAAAAAAAAAAGAAGAAGAAGAAGATAGGCAAATGTAGCATTTGGGAAGAAACTGGTACACCACTTGTCCAGTTAAAAAAAAAAAAAAAAAAAAAAAAAAAAAAAAAAAAAGAAGAAGAAGAAGATAGGCAAATGTAGCATTTGGGAAGAAACTGGTACACCACTTTGTCCAGTTGATGTAAACAAGTAGGGGGAGATGGGTTTGGAGAGCCAAGTAAAGAACCAATTTGGGGGCCTTAAGTGCTAGGATAAGAGTTTTGAGGAGTCTTTAAAGCAGGGCGGTTTTTCATAATTCACATATAAATTGAGTTGTAAGGGTAGAGAAAATGACAAGTTAAAAAATAAACACACTTATTCAGATGTGAGATTGTGAAGGGCTATGCCCTAGTAGTGGTCCTTGAAAACTTTATAGAAGAAACAACACTTTGCTTATGGACTAAATGTGGTAGAAAAGGAAAAGTAGAAGATAAGAATGACCTCAAAGTTTTAAAATTGAGAGACTGAAAGAAAGGCATGCTGGGTAAGAATAGAAAAACTTGCAGACAGCTATTAATAGTTTAGGATGAAAGATTTCAGTTTGAGGTATACTGCCTTTAGATGGCTACCGTGCCTCCTAGTGGAGCTGGAAATCGAGGCCTGAAACACAGTGAGGATTGGAGACAATTGCAAAGGTGATTATTTGAAGTTATGAGTAAGTGACACCTCTGAGAAAGACTTCACATTAAATCTGTGGGTCAAGAACTAAGCTTTGTCATTTGCAACAGCATGGATTTACCTGGAGGACATTATATTAAGTGAAATAAGCCAGGCACAAAAAGGAATACCACATGATCTCATTCATATGTGGATTCTAAAAAATTGGAACACTGAGAAGCAAGAGTGTAGACTGATGATTGCCAGAGCTGGGGAGGGAAATGGGGAGATGTTGGTCAGAGGACACAAACTTTCAATTGCAAGGTGAAAACGTTTGGGGAATCTACTGTACAGCACAGTGACTATAATTAATCATACTCTATTCCATAATTGAATATTGCTAAGAAAGTAGATTTTCAGAGTTCTTACCGCAAGAGAATGACGTGCATGAGGTAATGCATGTATTAATTAGCCCAATTTAGCCATTCCACAATGTATACATATTTCAAAACATCACAATGTACACCATAAATATATACAATTTTAATTTGTCAATTAAAGAAATAATTTTTTCATTGGAAGAATATACAAGATTTTTTTAAATGAATTTTAAAAATAAGATGTAAAAAACAAAACCAAAAAACTAGCACTTTTCAGGAGCTGGAGAAGAAAACAGATTTGTGAAGGGAGTCAGTACAGAAACAATTTGAAAAATGGGCAAAGGAAGAGGTAGAGAAATGAGGCAGTAGAGAACTGAGACAGCATAAGAAAACCCAGGAGTGATTTTCCAGAAAGGGTAAGCTTCACATTCGAATTTTAACACATCCATTGCAGCCTTTACAAAACCATCCTTCAAGGTTTGAAAAATAAAATCAGAGAATAAAGCAATGGGACAAACTGTGTGAAAAAAGTTGTGTTAAATTGGGAAAATTTGAACATGAAAAAAATAAGACTGGGTGTGGTGGCTCACACCTGTAAATTTCAGCACTTTGGGAGGCCAAGGCAGGGGGATCACTTGAGCCCAGGAGTTCAAGACCAGCCTAGACCACACAGTGAGACCCCATCTCTACAAAAACTTATTTTAAAAATTAGCCAGATATAGTGGCACATGCCTGTAGTCCCAGCTACTTGGGAGGCTTAGATGGGCCCTTGAGTCTAGGAGGTCAAGATTGCAGTGAGCCATGATTGCACCACTGCACTCCAGCCTGGGTGACAGAGTGAGACCACACACACATACACACACACATACAATAGCAAAAGGTGATCACATACTGAATAAAATAGGAATCCATTACAGTTGTGTTCAAACTGGTCAAAAAAAATATCAAAAAACACTACCCTAAAAATGTCAATCTACATTATTAAACATTGATGTAATCCTGAAGACACTGGAAGATATATCAGTTATATGACCTTGGATACAATGAACAGAAAACTCAATTCAAATTAGCTTAAACAATATAACTGGATGATTGTTGGCTCATTCTCTGAAAAGACCACAAGTTAGGCAGGTTTTAGGGTTGGTCGAATCTGAAGGAAAACATCCACAATTCTTTTATTTCTACCTTCCTCCACCAGCCAGTCACATCCTCAGCCTGATTTCTCTAAAGCTATGTTCCTCCATGTTTACACCTGGGCTACATCCTTCCCTAAGAGAGGGCACCTCTCCCAAACCTCCCATGATTCGTGTCTTAGGGAACCAGCCACTGGGGCCAGGGGAAGGCTGTAAGCTGACTGACTTATGCACTCATTACTGAACCAACCACTATGGCCCTATGCCCTACATTGAAATCACCCTGAGGGACCCTAAAGCAATCAGGGCCTGCCTCTGGATGTGGGGTGAATGGTCAGTCTCACTCAACTTTGGGACTGGTTAGGTAGGATCTGCAAATAGATACTGAATGTATACATTAGGTTGTGATTGGCCAAGTCAAAATATCAGTGACTTAGCTGGGCATGGTGGCCTGCACTTGTGGTTCCAGCTACTCGGGAGGCTTAGGTGAGATCTCTTGGGAGGTGGAGACTGCAAAGTTCTAAGATTGTGCCTGTGAATAGCCACTGCTCTCCAGCCTGGGTGACAAAGCGACATGCTCTTAAACAAAAACATCGAGTGGCTTTTGAGTTTTCTGAAGTCTGGAATTTTGCAGTCCCGATAGATATGGTAGCTCTGCCCCAAAAAGTTATTTGGACCCAGGGGTCTCCTTCTAGCTCACCACCCTGATGACATTCTTGGGGTAGAGCCCTAATTCTCATTATACAAGGCAGGATTTCTGCTCCAGGAAATAGGATGGAAGAAGTGACAAAAAAGGAGTACAGGGGCACATTTGAAGGAAGGTTCCTAGGAGCTGTTAGCATCACTACCCTTATCACATGGCCATACCCACCTAACAAGTAGGCTAGGAAATGAACTTTTTTCTTTTTTCTTTTCTTTTCTTTTCTTTCTTTCTTTTTTTTTTTTTTTTTTTTTTGAGACGGAGTCTCATTCTGTCACCCAGGCTGGAGTACAGTGGCGTGATTTCAGCTTACTGCAACCTCTGTCTCCTAGGTTCAAGTGATTCTCCTGCCTCAGCCTCCCAAGTAGATGGGATTACAGGTGTACACCACTACCACCTGGCTAATTTTTGTATTTTTAGTAGAGACAGGGTTTCACCATGTTGGCCAGGCTGTTCTTGAACTCCTGACTTCAAGTGATTTGCCTACCTCGGCCTCCCAAAGTGCTGGGATTACAGGTGTGAGCCACTGCTCCCAGCCGGAAATGAACTTTTTTCTGAGGTGGCCATTTGTCTGGCTAAACATTCTATTACTGTGCAACGCAGGGGAAATAAATACTGGGGGACAATAGGCACTTTCAGGAACTTAAATAAATGAACCTATTAGAGTTGATTGATCTAAGCCTAGGTGACAAAATTAGTAAATTACATGGAGAGTAGTTATTCATTTATAATCTGTCAAACAAGACAGGCAAGATGAGAGAAAATTCCCAATTCAGGCCGGGTGCGGTGGCTCATACCTGTAATCCCAGCACTTTGGGAGGCCGAGGCGGGCGGATCACAAGGTCAGGAGATAAAGACCATCCTGGCTAACACAGTGAAACCCCGTCTGTACTAAAAAAAATACAAAAAAATTAGCCGGGCATGGTGGCAGGCACCTGTAGTCCCAGCTACTCGGGAGGCTGAGGCAGAAGAATGGCATGAACCCGGGAGGCGGAGCTTGCAGTGAGCCAAGATCTCACCACTGCACTCCAGCCTGGCAGAGCGAGACTCCATCTCAAAAAAAAAAAGAAAAAGAAAAAGAAAAAAAGACAATTCCCAATTCAGAGGAATGAAATAAAGAAAAGGGAAGAATAAATGGTAAGTTAAAATAACTCTGTTTATATACCGTTTCTGCCACCTAACAGTTGGGCAATCTTTAACAAGTTGCATAGCCTCAATAAGTATATGATCTGTCTGTAAAATGGAGATAACATCATCTACTCTACAGAGCTGGGAAAAGATTGAGATAATATTTGTTAGGTGCTTTGTAAGCAATAATGCTCAGACAGATCACAGTTATTATTAGTAATAACAAAGCTTACAATGATGTAGTAAATATTTTAGAAAACATTGATTAAAAGTGATATGAGACTTGTTATCTTTTAAAATCACTTTTTAAAAACATATTGAACTTGTAGTTAATTTTTTTAAAATTCCCACTATTTTTTCCCCTGCTGGTCAGGTCTCATTTGTTAAATTGTGTATCCAAAAAGTAGTTGAGCAAATATTCTCATTGTATAATAACAAACTCATGAATGCAAAGCCAGAAACTTCAGATTAAAAATAAATTTTGATTCTAATATTATAATATTTATACATTCATTTTTATAGTAAAATAAATTTCACAAAATTATAATAAATTCAATAAATGGAGTCCCAAATTTTACACGTACTCTCTTTTGCATAAAGAATAGGAATTAGTTTAGAAAAGGATCTCACTGGCTTTGTGTAGTGCATTTACAAGTTACAGTGGGAAGAGCAAAGGGGCTAGCCTCATTTCTACTACACAATGGCCTCACTGCAAAGTAATATCTTGGTCTGCAAGGCAGCCATAAGGTCAGGAGATTGGTTACATACAGGTAGATTAATTAAGTGAGCGTACTGAGATGAGAGCTGGGTTTTTCTCTGTCACAAAAGGGAATTAACAGTTCAGAAAGGGAGAAGACTAAACCTGGAAGCAGTGATCTCCTAGTAGCAATGATCATACCCAGCACCCAGATGGAGGCTTCTGAATACCATTCTCCACTAACAGAATCCAGAATCCTTGAAGAAATGGTTGGTTTTAGGACTGGAACAAGGACAGTACAAAATGTTCCTGGAACATCTTGTTTGTCACGAAAGTAGGAAAGAAATCAAAGAATGATGAGGACGTATTAGAAGAAGAAGTCCTAGTTTGAAGGGCTTCCATTAGCTAAATCTGGAACAATTTGAATATCAAAATAAATGATAGCAACAGATTATCCGTTGAATAAAATAGATAAACAAGGGAGAAGGAAAACCTTTTTTTTTTTTTTTTTAAGAGACAGTCTCACCCTGTCACCCAGGCTGGAGTGCAGTGGCACAAGCATGGCTCACTGCAACCTCGAACTCCTGAGCTCAAGTGATTCTCATTCCTCAGCCTCCCCTGTAGGTGATGCTACAGGTATGCACCACCATGCCGGGCTAATCTTTTGATTTTTTTTTTTTTTTCTTTTGTAGAGATGAGGTCTCACTATGTTGACCAGGCTAGTTTCGAACTCCTGGCCTCAAGTGCACCTGCCTTTGCCTCCCAAAGTGCTGGAATTACAGGCGTGAGCCACTGTGCTAGGCCAAGGAAAACTTTACCTTATAATAGAAAGCCAACTAATAAACGTAGAAAGAATAATGGGATTAGAATAGCATCATTTGTCAACCATTACAGTAATAATTGATTTAGGAAAAAACCAATAATGGATGCTAAAGCCAGTGGGGGAGTGGGGACTGGGGAATGTGATGAAGAACGCGATATTTATATAACATAAAAGTAGCTCTCGCCGGCCCCCACCAAATGCGGAGCAACCCGCGAACTCACACCGGTTTCTCTCCATCCTCAGCCTGCGCGCCACCATCGCCGTCATGCTGGCGCCACTCTCCGCCGCTGCGCGGTGACCGCAACCGCCTGGGCCGGCCCTCGAGGCCTCCTGCATTCTGCCCCAACCCCCGGCCCCGCCGCGGCTATCCAGTCAGTTCACTGCTATTCCCATGGGTCACACGAGACAGATGAGGTGTTTGATGCTCGCTGGGTAACATACACCAACAAGCCAGATATAGATGCCTGGGAATTGCATAAAGGGATGAGCAACACACTTGTTAGCTATGATCTGGTTCCAGAGCCCAAAATCATTGATGTTGCTTTGTGGGCATGCAGACGGTTAAACGATTTTGCTAGTGCAGTTCGCATCCTAGAGGTCGTTTAGGACAAAGCAGGACCTCATAAGGAAATCTACCCCTATGTCATCCAGGAACTTAGATCAACTTTAAATGAACTCGGAATCTCCACTCCGGAGGAACTGGGCCTTGACAAAATGTAAACTCCATGGCTTCCCAAGGATTTATTGATATTGCTACTTGAGTGTAAACAGTTACCTGGAAATACTGATGGTAACATATTACCTTATTTGAAAAAGTTTTCCTTTATTAAGTACCAAGCCATGTAATGGTAACTTGGACTTTAATAAAAGGGAAATGAGTTTGAACTTAAAAAAAAAAAAGTAGCTCTCCACAAAATACTTATTCATAACTTTTAACCTAGTAAGTACAAAATACTTATTAATTAATTTTACAGTGAAGAAATTCGGCAGACACCATCTTAACCAAGTGATAAAAGTCAACACTGATAGAAATAGAACAAATTACATTGTTGCCTTCTGATGCCGCATTGAGAAGAACATAGCATCACTTCTGTGGTACGTCTCCACAAAAACCCACTACCAACAAATAACCTGAATCTAACCATGAGAAACTTAAGGCAAACTCAAGTGTAAGGACAGTCTACAGATTAATTGCCTGTTCTCTTTTAAACTGTCAACATGAAAGACATGGAAAAACTGAGGAATCTCCAAGTTGAAGGAGGTTAAAGAGACATAGCAATTAAATTCAACACATGATCTTCTATTGGTTCCTGGGTCAGAAAGGAAAGGGTGATTATAAAGCACATTATGGAGACAATCACTGAAATTTGAATGCAGTCTGCAGCTTCGATGTTAGTATTGTATCAATTTTAATTTACTGATTATAATGATTTTACTGGACTTTTATATGTTTTATATACAAAATGAGAGAGAAAAAGATAATGTGGTAAAATGTTAACAACTGATTAGGAAACCTAAGTAAAGGATACAAAGAAGTCTCCAAATTACTCTTGCAATTTTCTGTAAGATTGAAATTACTTTAGAATAATTATTTTTTAAAAGCATAATGTATCATATAAAATGTATTAAATTTCAGTTCCCTGAAAGTTATAGGGCTTCTAGAAACGTGACAGTGAGAGCATGGTTTTGGATCTTCTCAAATCCCTACATATAAACAGAGAAACTAGACAACAAAATTAAAATTCACGGATCACATTTACAGCAAAAGAAGATGGCAAGGCATTTCCCCAAACCACAGAATACAAGCATATGGGGACACATCACCATCAAGCACAGGACCTGCATGATGGCGGAGTGTATGTAAGAGATAGGAAAGGGAGCCCATGGGACATTTGATAAGACTGAGAACAGGAGATTCCAAAGAGCAACAGGCATTCACTGGAAAGCACAATGGATCGATCCGTGAGTGGCAACTGAAACTAGAAGGGGTTTTGCCCATTTTAATTGCAGATGAGCACAAGGAAACCCAGTAAGACCTAAAGGGGTGGGGACATTCTAGACATTCTAGCCCCTCTGAATTTCCAATACTGTCTGTCCAAATCTCACTTCCAGGACACAGCTCGGAAAGAAACTGCTGGGTGTGTGATCAAAATCGATCAAGATAGGGACAACACATAAAAAGGAGATCCAGGCTGGGCGCAGTGGCTCACACCTGTAATCCCAGCACTTTGGGAGGCCGAGGCGGGTGGATCACCTGAGGTCGGGAGTTCGAGACCAGTCTGACCAATATGGAGAAACCCTGTCTCTACTAAAAATACAAAATTAGCCAGATATGGTGGTGCATGGCTGTAATCCCAGCTACTCGGGAGGCTGAGGCAGGAGAATTGCTTGAACCCGGGAGGCAGAGGTTGCAGTGAGCCGAGATCGTGCCATTGCACTCTAGCCTGGGCAACAAGAGTGAAACTCCATCTCAACAACGAAAAAAAAAAGGAGATCCAGATAAAAAGTAAATAAGGAGAGCAGAGCCAGGAAATCTCAAAAGTGCAGACAGCTATATATTTAAAACTTTACACAAAAGCAAAGAAGTACCTCAGTGATGTTAGCAAAATCTATCTGAACCTAGCCACGATTTAAAAGTTCAGAAAGGCTGGGAGCGGTGGCTCAAGCCTGTAATCCCAGCACTTTGGGAGGCCGAGGTGGGTGGATCACAAGATCAGGAGATTGAGACCATCCTGGCTAACATGGTGAAACCCCGTCTCTACTAAAAAATACAAAAAACTATCCGGGCAAGGTGGCGGGCGTCTGTAGTCCCAGCTACTCGGGAGGCTGAGGCAGGAGAATGGCGTAAACCCGGGAGGCGGAGCTTGCAGTGAGCTGAGATCTGGCCACTGCACTCCAGCCTGGGCGACAGTGCGAGACTCCGTCTCAAAAAAAAAAAAAAAAAAAAAGTTCAGAAAAACTAATTTTACTTAAGAACGAACAATAGAAAAATACTAAGGTCAAATTCCAAATTTACTAAAAGAAAAAAAGAGAAAATAAGGGGCAGAATAACATTCCTACAAAAAATAAAAGTACAGCATAAAGACATACTCAAGAAGCAGATCAAAACTATAACGTGGAAAAAAAAAAAAAACCCAAATAAATAAAACCCACTATAATGTGGCCAGACGGAATGACTCATATGGCTCATGCCTGTAACCCCAGCACTTTGGGAGGCCAAAGCGGGTGGATCACTTGAGCCCAGGAGTTCCAGACAGCCTGGGCAACATGGCGAAACCCTGTCTCTACAAAAAATTAGCTGGGTGTGGTGGTGCACGCCTGTGGTTCCAGTTTCTCGTGGGGCTGAACCAGAAGGATTGCTTGAGTCCAGCAGTTCGAGACCAACCTGGGCAACATAGGGAAACCCCATCTCTAAAAAAAAGGAGAAAGAAAAAAAAAATTATAGTAATAATTAACACTAAACTAGAACAAAAGGCCAGGCGCAGTGGATCATGCCTGTAATCCCAGCACTTTGGGAGGCCGAGGCGGGTGGATCACAAGATCAGGAGATTGAGACCATCCTGGCTAACATGGTGAAACCCCATCTCTACTAAAAATACAAAAAAATTAGCTGGGCATGGTGGCGGGCATCTGTAGTTCCAGCTACTCGGGAGGCTGAGGCAGGAGAATGACCTGAACCCGGGAGGTGGAGCTTGCCGTGAGCCAAGATCGCGCCACTGCACTCCAGCCTGGGCTACAGAGTGAGACTCTGTCTCAAAAAATAGATAAATAAATACATAAATAAACTAGAAGAAAAAAGGGAAACACACTCACATACATACACAAAATGCCTTAAGAGAAGTAGTAGATGAAAGGAGGAAGTTGCCTGTAGAACTAAGACAAAATAAAACTTAAAAGGGAGGCAGATGATAGAATATAAAGGTTATATGATCTGACAGGGTAGCTATGATACAACAATTTAAAACTGGGATAAGAATGGGGATAACATGCAAAATTGTTTACCATTTTCAGTAGTTGGCGGTGATTATATTATGAATATTAATTGTCAGTAGTAACATGTTGTTATTCTAAAATAACTACTACTATTATTCTATGACTGCTGGTTTTATGTGGGAAAAAGTAAATGAAAGTCATGAAATTTTCAAATTCTATCATCCCCTGTTACCTTGAGAACTAGGGTTCTTGGCGTGGAGGAAAGGAGATACAGATGTAATACAGAAGATAACTAAAAACCTTGTAGTTATAATTTAAAATGGAGATGTTAGCATAAACTCCAGAAAGGAAATAAATCTCTGGGCCCCAAAAATCACTCAAGCTGGGAACTGCTTAGGGCAAATCTGCCTCCCCTTCTATTCAAAGTCACCCCTCTGCTCCCTGAGATAAATGCATATCTGATTGCCTCATTCGGAGAGGCTAATCAGAAGCTCAAAAGAATGCAGCCATTTAAATCTTATCTACCTATGACCTGGAAGGCTCCTCCCTGCTTCTAGTTGTCCTGCTTTTGCCTCAAGTTGTCCATCCCACCTTTCCAGACTGAACCAATGTACATCTTACACACGTTGATGTCTCATGTCTCCCTACAACGTACAAAACCAGGCCAGGCACGGTGGCTCAAGCCTGTAATCCCAGCACTTTGGGAGGCCGAGGCAGAAGGACCACTTGAGGTCAAGAGTTCAAGATCAGCCTGGCCAACATGGCAAAACCCTGTCTCTACTAATAAAGTACAAAAATTAGCCAGGTGTGGTGGTGCACACCTGTAATCCCAGCTACTTGGGAGGCTGAGACAGGAGAATCATTTGAACCCAGGAGGCGGAGGTTTCAGGAAGCTGAGGTGGCGCCACTGCACTCCAGCCTGGATGACAGAGTGAGTCTCAAAAAAAAAAAAAAAAAAAAAAAATTCCAAAAGCAAGCTGTGCCCCTGCCACCTTGGGCCCATGTTGTCAGGACTCCTGAGGCTGTGTCACAGGTGCGGGTCCTCAGCCTTGGCAAAATACGCTTTCCAAATTAACTGTGAACTGTCTCAGATTTTTGAAGTTCACAACTCATAAGACATTATACCTACTATATGTAGTTCTTTCCACTGAAAAGACTTAGAAACAGTCACTCCACTGTGGTCTTGAAATATCATTTCCCATTAGAAGAAACCAGGGTTTCTTGGAGAAATGGCTGATTCCAAAATTCCAGGGTTTGGTTTTTGGTCATTGGTTTTAATTTATTTTATTTTTAATTGACAAATAATAATTGTACATATTTATGGAACACAAAGTGATATTCTCTTTTTTTTTTTTTTTTTTTTGAGTCTCGCTTTGTCACCCAGGCTGGAGTGCAGTGGCACCATCTCAGCTCACTGCAGCCTCCATCTCCCGGGTTCAAGTGATTCTCATGCCTCAGCAGGAGGTTCACTCTGTCGCCCAGGCTGGAGTGCCGTGGCCCGATCTTGGCTCACTGCAACCTCTGCAATCGCTTGAACCTGGGAGGCAGAGGTTGCAGTGAGCTGAGATGGTGCCGTGGCCCAATCTCGGCTCACTGCGTCAGCCTCCTGAGTAGCTGGGATTACAGGCATGCACCACCACACCAGGCTAATCTTTGCATTTTTAGTAGAGATGGGGTTTCACCATGTTGATCAGGCTGGCCTCATGATCCGCCTGCCTCGGCCTCCCAAAGTGCTGGGATTACAGGCGTGAGCCACCGTGCCTGGTCCCAAAGTGATATTTCAATTT